GGTAGTTTCCTAACCATCGTTTCTGGAGAGTTACACCAGCACTATACTATCTTCCTCCGCGCTAAACTACCAAAGCATCTCCCGGGGATCGAACCCACGCTAGAGAGGTAACTTGATTAGAAGTCATCGACTCTAACCCCTCGACCAAAGAGGCGTCACATCGACACACTATAGGTCATTTGGCGACGTTCCAGCTTTACTGGTGGAGGAAGACCTCAGGTGCGCTTCCGTGCATTATTCGAACGGGCACCTGAGATGTGCTTGAGAACAATAGGCTGTATGAGAAGTTGGTGACTTTGCTGATATAGGTATTCAATAATTTTACATGAAGTACTACAAAAAAGTGGCCGTCAAAGCATCAAAGCGTTAAATACAAAAGAGTGCCTGTCACCTATTATATGACAGGTACAAGATGGTTGCCGCAACTCTCAATTGGAATTGAAGAGTTCATTTGGGTTATACCCTGAATATAAGGTACACCTGTTTTCTCTTAGCCACACATATTTAAAAGCAGAGGGATCGGTGAAGGTAATGCTAGACAAGAATTTAAACTTGCTGAATTCTCTTCTTAGGAGTACCTACACAATTTTATTACAATATAAATCATTAACTTATTTTTCCCCATGTTGTATATAATAAATGTATTTATTTTTATTTTTCCAAATCCGTACCAAAAATGTATATCTGTTTCCTATTTGGTAAAACATTTCAGGATGACTCAGATCCATTTGTGAAATTACCCTTCAAGTAACAGAGGCCTTGTACTGTTTTGGTTGATGGGAAATTTTGATTGACACAACAGCTGAATGACTGGATGGTTGCTAGGGGACGTGGACGATTACTTGCACTTTCAAGTACCGTCCATGAACAGACTCAATCAAACCGAACCTGCAACATTTTCAATTCTGTCGTGTTGGGTTTTCTTTTAAAGGATTTTGTAGTGCTCTATTTTTCAAGTATGTATATAGCTAAATACATTGGTATCTCTGTAGGGGCCGCTTGTACAATTCTCAGACGTGATTTTAAAATGAGAAGGTTAAGTGCCACATAAATACCCCATCTCCTTACAAAAGAGCAAACACTTGCTCGGGTAAGAATCTCCAAACAATTGTTTAAACAGTTCCCTAAATACAACCATCGTTCTTTTGCAAATATCATCACTGGCGATGAGACGTGAGCCCAAGCAAACGATATATAACAAAATATGGACAAACAAAGGAAGTCAAAAATCTTGCATAGCAAAACGCACAATGACGTCAATGATCGTCAAAAAGGTCATGTATATATTTTTCTGCTACTGCTATTCAAATTGCCGTACCAAAGGGTATATATGTAAATGCCAAGTTTAACAAAGGCAAGTGTCCGAACAGTATACCTCGAAAAGATAATGAAAACACATAAAAAATGGATTAAAAGACTAAAACTTATTTAGGCATTGTTTGTTAGCTCTTCTAAAAATTGACCCAGTTGCATTCATATTTGAACACCCCTCGTATTATAGACATGTTCCCATAATTTAGGGCTGCAGTTTCTTAAATTCCTAGTAACACAAAATTCTTTCTTTATTTGTCAACTGGAAGTGACCTTTTTTTAAAAAAAAAAACTTTAACATCAATTTTGTGTTATTTTACTTAGAAAATCAATAACTAAACACTAAAAAGCTCAAAATAACGCCCAACTTTTAGATCTGACTGTGACTAAATACGATTTTTTTCTGGTTCACAGAGCCAATCATCGGGGAGCTTTCATAATTTTTAAAGTGATGTGATTTTTAATAACAATTACTGACCAGGTAATTTTCAAGATTTTGAGAACAAACATGGTGTTGTCCATAAAGCCGACAGGTAAACTGACAAAACAATCTTGACTATTTAAAATTGACTCTATTTTGGCAAATAAATTGTTAAAAATTAATTCAATTTGTTTAACTTCCACTTATAACGGTATTTTGTTACTTCTAATGTGCTTATATAAACACAGGTTTGATTGCATGGCTAAAAATAGCTTTCTATGGAAATCCGAATTAAGAAGGCGAAACATATACGGACGTCATCAGATCTACATTTAAGAAATAAGTAAATCTGAACTTCAGTCAGATTGCAAGTGATGTGTAGCAGCCGTAAAATGATGATCTGTACTTCAGATTTGGTCTTGTTATATTTTGCCGGTCATTTGGGATCATTGAGTCCAGCTCTTTTAAGTGTCCGCTCACGCCGGTGCTAGGGGCCATGAGAATGTTGCACTTTTTCATCATCCCTCATGTACACACTCAATCAAATCGAGTCTGCACTTTGCATGAAATTTTGCCGTTTGTAATGCTACCAAGGGATCACTTTTTCGAGATATGTATTTCCTATGTCAGTTACACAAAAATGTCATTCATAATGGCATAATGAATTATAAGACACATAAGTAAGATATAAGTAATATCAAATATGTCTTCTTTTTAATTTTCCAATAAAGTAAATATGCATTTTAAGTTAGTATATACGAGTATGTGTTATACAGAAATTAACACTTTCTTTCTTGCAAATGTTATTAACACAGAAAAACACCAAAAAACAAATCAAACGATCATGTGCAACAATTGTAGATTATTGGTAAATTGCTATTTCTTCATAAGAGTTATTCTCCTTGATAAAAAGTAACTGTAGCCAGTGAAACTGCTTTGAGTGCATTGATTTTTATAAAAACAAAGCAAATCATAATTATGCTTGAATAAAAAAGTCACTCATAACAAAAAGATATAGCTAATTTATTTTATTATTCCGATATGTATTATAGTCTAAAACGTATGACCGATAGTGATGTTTTAACATTTCTGGACATACATACAAAGCAAGACAGTACAATATGGAAATCATGCTTTTTAACTTCAGGGTTATCCTTTCCCCAACCCTCCTTAAAAGCAAGTTATTTCAAGTACCCAATAAGTAAACAATTGTGGTAAGTTTGAAGTTATTTTCAATTTTTGCAAGGAATTCATGAATTGATACAACTGTCTTTTATTAAGACAAAAGAAAACATCGTTTAAGTAAGAGAAACTCCTTAAACTGTCAATAATGTCATGAATGTGAGAGAATAAACAAATCTCGGCGCATATCGCTTTGATCTGTCCATTCTCTCACATAATGGATAGTTTAAGGAGTTTCTCCTTAACTAAAGGTCAAACGCATTTTAAACAATTTAACTCCTGAAAAAAATAATATGGGAAGTATTTTTCAAACGTCATCAGAGATTTTTACCGTCAAAATTCATTCATACTCGATAATTTTTGGAATAGTTTCGAATTTTTTCTAACAATATCTAGATCGAATTGAAATAGTTGTCTAACGTTGAAAAATGGACGCTATATCTATTACTAACTGAAGTATATCACAAATTACTTTGATCAATTACCATAAATCACATGCGCTAGTAGTTTATAAGAAATTGTCTACCAAAGAGATTAGACAGTAAGTCGGTTTTGACATATTACAAATATCAATTTTATCAGCATATATAAGCACGCCGTCGTAGGCCTACAAATCGTCTATTGTTAAAAAGCAATTAAATTATTAGTATGAAGTTATACAAAGTATAATCAAAAATAGTCACACGTGCAGAAACGAAACGGAATATTGTTTTAAAGTCTACAATTTCTACATTAGTCTACAATGGGCACATTTTCAATAAGTATTTAAGATATTGATAAAACAATAGAAATGTATGAATTGGATATTGTAATGAAATATTACAAAAGGCAGAATGTTGATAAAGTTTTTAAGTGATTGAGTATGGCAATACACCTGTTTATGATGAACGGTAATATTTTGTTCTAGAACACTTTATCATCTGTCATATATGACATGTATGTTACACTTATCAGCAACATCCATATATAATTATTTCGCAGTTTGTTTTTACGTATGATACTAATTACTATCAACATAATTATTTATGGTGCATTGTGTATGACAGACCTTCCACATTATTGACTTATTCACTTAACAGTTTATAACAAATTATGATAAGCAGCTAAAGATGTATTCATTTAAGTTGTAAACTTTAACAGGAAGAAACATAATGATTCCCCGTCTCGCAATTTTAAAACATGTGTCTAAATGCTTTCCTTTTTGTAGCTTGGGCGATTTGAAAAAGAACTTTTTACTTCTGCCGTTACTGAATCTGTTCTATTGATTCAGTAGTAATATACCGATATTCAAATATGCTTGTAAACATTTTGAGGGCCAACACATCGTATACTTCAATATCCATAATTGAGGCCTTGTGTAAAAATGAAGGCTGAATAACTAAAAAATTATTAAAGTTAATGAAGCACTGGAATGACTTGTGACCAGTATATATAAATGAATATATTTATATCATAAAAAGCCATGTTATTATTAAAAACAGAAGACAAAATAACAATTATTCATAGCTAGAAAATGTAGGTGAAAATATAAATCACTGTACGTCACTGTAATTACCATTTATTATCAAGTTACTTTAACTTATTTTTTTTGTTTTGGGTTTTACGTCACATCGACACAGTATAGGTCATACCGCGACGTTCCAGCTTTACTGGTGGAGGAAGACCTCAGGTGCCCTTCCGTGCATTATTTCAGGCACGAACGGGTACCTGAGTAGAACCACCGACGTTCCGTAAGCTAGCTGGATAGCTTCCTCACATGAAAGAATCCAAAGTTCCTGTCGGGATTCGAACCCACAGAGGTGAGGGGCAAGTGGTTTGAAGTCAACGACCTTAACCACTCGGCCATGGACGCCCCTTAACTTAATTGTGCTTCATAATTATAAAACTGTAATGTTCCGAATGGTGAAGGTATATTTACTTTGTATTTTAAATATAAAGCTACGGGAATTTAAATGATTTACAAATTGCTTGCTATTTCGAATGACATTTCGTTTTGCAAACAAAATTATAATTATATGTTGGCCCTGGGAGTATCGATTGATCTTCAAAGATAAAAATCTTTTATCTGATTTAACAATAGTTGTTTATTTGTTATCGTGACGTCTTAGTAACATGTCGTTCAGTCCTACAATGCATTTTGAATAATATCATTTTTTACCCGGGGACGTGGCAGACTATATTCAAAATTCATAAGGATTTAAGTGACAAAATATATATTTGTCTAACATTTACATAATTGTGTAGGGCAAACAAGACTTTAAAGACACGGAATGTTGTTAATTTAACAGGATTTATGATGTTTTCGCTGAAACGGATGTCTCCCAGGTGTTGTATCCATGTAAAATTATATTGAATCGCATGTATGAATTTTACATTCATGTAAAACATCACAGACAATTAATCAGGTGAGTCACAGCTTTCTCGTGATATTATTGGAGGGGTTATCAGACTTTTTCACAAGGCTGAGAATGCATCCATTTTTGCCTATCAAATAGAACTTAACGTATCTTATTTAAAGCCTAAAAGCACTCAAACCAGCCTAAAAAATTATGCGCATTTCCGCTTCTAAAAAGATAATTTAAACGCAAAATTAAAGATCCTGTAACTTATTTTTTATGGCTTTATATCATAAATCTGATGTTCATATGAAGATTTATCAATATTTAAAGTTTCAAAAAGCATTATTTGTAAAAACATTACCAAATTTATATTTCATTAAAATAAAGGGAGGTAATTAGAAATTTATTTTCCATAATGTTTTTTTTTTTCAAATAAGAAGAGAATGCATATATTTTAACGTTTATTTATAATGCGCATGAACGTTTGCAGTACATATTTAACATATTCTTAGATGTTTAGAAATTGTTTCAGGAGAATAATTCTATACATATATAAAATTTCACTTAAGTTTTGCGACATCCTAAATTACATCATACAGGATCTTTAAAATCGTGGTGAACAAACTGGTTACAAGAAAAATCAGAAAATATCATTTATGTTACATTTTACAATAGGAACAGGGCATTCCTTCCACTGTGTGAATTAATAATTATTTCCTGAAAAGCGTTTTTACTGTTTCATGTTTCGAAAAATAGTTACAGTTAAATTATATCTATAATATCACCAAATACTATTATATGACCGAGTGAACCGTGTACCGAAATTTTGATACGCCTTTAACTGCGGAACACCTCGCCCATTATCCCTAATAAGAGCTTATCCGGAAACTGATGGAAATGGCCGATAACAAACTGTTCTGTCAATTAATGAAACATTTTTCGAATAAAACAAATCGTCAAAATCTGCAAAACAGTTCTCCCGCAAGCTTCTTTTTTTAATGACGCAAATTTGGAATTATAAAACTCTGTAAAATGTGTGATCACAATTATTAATTCACAACTTATTAATTAATTAATTTGCTTATTGAAAAAGCTGTGTCCATTTTCGGTTCAAGTATTGCTCTTGCATGAAGCCTTTATTATATTTATCAAAATAGTTTATACCGACATGAATTTTAATAATATCACATGTCTCTTAATTAACAATGTAGATCTCTTTAGAGTACGATTTTTTTGTAGCAACGAAAGGGCGTAGGGCAAAAACGCAATAACGAAATACTACATTTTAGCATACTTAAAGGCTTTAAAATAGTTGATCTCAAGTTATTTCACCTTGAAAACAGAAATGTTTGAATGAATTAAAGCGGTACATACTTAAAACATGAACTGATATTTATAACAGATATACAAAATTAGCGGGACTTATAATTCAATGACCAAAAGTCCTCTTCTAAGGTATCATTAGGTGATTTTTTCAGTAGTTACTTAAATTGAAACAGCAAGGTGTTAAAGACAAATTTTATTATGAACCAGGTATGACATAATATTACACAATTATTTGCCAGCTTGTTTACAATATCATTCAACCGGGACGTTTTAATACAGGCATGGCATAGTTAATCACGCATTCGGCAGCACAGTCAATTAGGATAAAGGATACAATTATAACTGAACACTAAAATGCATTATTAAATAACTTTACGTTATTAGTCCTTTAAAGAAGCACCTGCCACGTTCAATAACACGATTGCCTGCCTTAAAACAGTGCCAATATCTATATCACTTTTTCGGCCCCGGGCCGAAAAGTGATATAGATATAAAGCCCGCATTTGAAGTAATTTGATTGGCTAATAAAGCAGGGCCAAAAATGATATAGATATGTGCAAGAAACTGGGAAATGACAGCCATTTTGTTTTAACTCGGTCTATATGTAGACGCCGACAGATTGCATAAATGAAACAAAATATTCTCAGTTTCTAAACATTCACAGTCTGACATTTTGTTGTACATGTACAATATAAGTTACAAAATGTAGGTTTTCCTTACAAACTGATAAAAATTTTAATGTAGTTATTTTTAAAGTTGTTCTTTGTTATAGTTTAAATATGTTACAGATTTAAGATAAGAAGATATATCTGAGGATTAAATGTGAAATATTATAAGAACATGTAGTTATTTAATAAAATTGTCAATAAATAAATAATTTTATATTGGCCCTGTTATTTGTCCTCGGGTCAGTCGTATTGGCCCTTGGCCTTGGGCCAATACGACTGCCCTCGAACAAATAACAGGGCCAATATCAAATCACTTATTTATTAACATTTATTATCACGTGTTCCGACTTTTTCTAAATGACTATTATACCCGATTTTATATGATATAAAATTTCTTTAGTTTGTAAATGAAAGATCAAAATAAAATAAACTGACTTCTTTATCTGCTACTATATATACTGTATTGCCACATTTTCTTTGTAACAAATATATCAACGTCAGGTCCGTTGTCGTAAGAGGAATTCTTAAACAATCGTCTTTTCTATGCCTTTTAATTGGCAATTTGGCCATTTGCTTTAAATGTATCTTTTGTAGCTATTTTGTATGTTTTTCTATTTTTTTTTTTCTTAAACTAACTCGGGATTGTCTACGATCTTCTACTGCATTTCTATGTTAGGCGATGTTCTTTCTGTCCTACGCAGATAGCGCATGTGCGAGAAAACACCACTTCTGATAAATTTTTTATAGCAGCGGACCACGTCGTAAAATAATGTAGAATACACGGGGATGGAACCCCATAAAGATCTCAAAAATATTAGTCGTATAAAGCGACATTTTCTACATACCGTTACGCATTGCATGTTTTGGTCACATCAGAAACCCATAACGGGAAGAATATTTCGATTAATACTGCATAAAAATCCGAACAAAAATGAGTAAATATAGAAGAAAGCCAGGAGGGTAGAATCACATTTCGATTTTCTTAAATAAAAAGCTTTGAATTTATATAAATGTTTAAAACGTTGAAAACTTACCCTGTGATTGACGTATGTTCTCCTTCACACATCGAGTTATAGTGCACTGTAATACCGCACTTTGTGGTCCAACGCACTTTGTGATCCGACCCCAAAGTGCGTTACATTTCGCATCGCACTTTGGGGTCCAACGCATTTTGGGGTCAAAATCGAGAAATTGTCCCCAAAGTGCGTAATTATGCTACATATCAACGCACTTTGGGTTCCAGAGTTCTGAAGGTGTCAACTGAGTTCTGCTTAAATACTGAGTACTGACTTATTTTTGATCTGCGACATTGGTGGAAATCGAGATGACGGCCGATACTTTATTTGATGCTTAAGTGATAAAAGTTTCATTAATTTCACTTGAAATATCTGAAAATTGTGTCCATAGAACAAAGAACTCTAGCACATAAATTGTGAATGTATTCCTAAAATTAAAAGATGCTGAGAAAAAATTTCTGTCAGTCATGCAGTTTATATTTTTTCCAAGGAACTATAAATATACTCTTTTGCAATGTTCTGGTGAAATATCATTATATCAAGTTTCTCGATCGACTATAAATAGTGATTTTTACAAAAACATTATTAAGCTTATCAACAAAATTAAGATTTTTTGTAAGTTCCGTAACAACCGTTCGCCATTTTTAATGGGAAATCTTACATACTTCTTAAGAAAGGGCACAAATGAATTTTATAATGTTGAAATAGTGGTATCAGAGAAATGTAAGATGCTTGTTACCTGTATAAAGTAGCAATAAAGTGAAATAATTTGTCATAAAAGTAGCAAAATATAAACAAAGCAGTGTTGTACTTCCATCTAATATACTAATTCACTATTACTGTACTCATTGACAAAAAGCAACAGATGAAAAAGATGGTTCAGGTAATTGGCAAATGAGTATCTTTTTGGATACTATTGAAGTACACCAAATTAAAAAAGCTTTTAAGAAATACAAATAAAAGCATAATGGGCCTTTTAAACGTTATTTTTATAATCTCGGGGCGATCGACACCCCACCATCCCCTCTAGACCCCTCATTGACAGCTTACATTTTTATGTAGTTCCGCTCTTAATGTGTGACTTTATACTAAAATGGTTTTACTGCATGTATTTAAGGCCGCATCTACACCTAGTCAAGTTTCTTAAATGTCACATTTAGATAAGCTAAATAAATGGCACTTTCAACATTTTATTAGGCACATTTTTAACTGAAATTTCTTATTTAGATTTCCCAGGATTTATACCTTTGTCTTTGTTAAGAGGATCATATTTCTATAAAATGTGGAAATAAAAAAGCAGGAAAATGATGCAATTAGATAAAAATAATGGTGTGTACATTCTTTTAATATAAATGGAAAATGTGAGAAAAAAATATTTTGAGCTTGGTAATTGGTATAATTTTTTTATTTGATGAAAGTTCTTCTCAAGATCGTTTTAAATCCCTATTGATTCTACTATAATTCAGGGCACATGTTTTGCGTCCACTAATGTTTACCGTTTCTTTGATTACAATATATCATTTAAAACGTCATGAAAATTCATTTTTATTGATTGACTTTTTATGACCCCAAAGTTGGTCGCTTGTCTGATGTTCAAAAATGCATATGTACCTCTTTAACGCACTTTGGGGTCACAATTGGAGCCCAAAGTGCGTAACGAACTCTGGGATCGGACCCCAAAGTACTTACCGCACTTTGGGTTCGGATCCCAAAGTGCGTTGGACCCTAAAAGTGCCGTGTTACAGTGCACAACTGGAGCAACGGAACTTCACATAATAATTTTTACAGATGCTCAATTTTGAGATTCATACGAAGTTCCACCGTGTGTTAAACTGACTCAATGAGATCATGTGTATTCTTTCGTCAGATGTCCTACGTCTTAAGTCCTGTCTATACTCCACTTTTTTGTTTTTGTCACAACAATTGAGATTGAAAAGGGAAATATTTGAAAATTCATGCTCAAAAATATCAGCTCCTAAATTGATAAATACACGAACAATGAGGTTTTTTTCAAAATTCAAAATTTCACCATTTTCATACTTAAATGTTGAATTCTGCTTTAGCCGGGGCTATGGTGCGTGGACTTGCTAGTACAATCCATGAACAGGCTCGATAAAGTAACGACAGCGTAATTTTCATAATTAACATAACTTAATCTTCGGTTACGACAGTACGTCAATAACACTTAAAATAACACAAAACAGAGCCGACATTTCGATATTTTTTTGTTGTATAACCTGATCACGATAAACAAGACTTTCGTCAGTTCAAAATACTTAATCGCAGTCCATGAAAAGGAATAGGTAAATAACTGGTGATTAACTATTTCGTTAAATCTATAGACAAAGTATTTGAAAACATTAACTCTACACCGCAGTACTTATGCATCAGTTTTTATTGGCAATTATCAAGTAAAGATTAGCTTTCTTTACATTATTTATGAAGGCCATAGAATAAGTGTGAATAAGAGATTAATACACGGCAGAGAAGGACCGGAAGGTGATAATCGGCCCGCAAAATGAATAATTATTCATTTCAGGGCCGATTATCACCTTCCGGTCCTACCCTGCCGTGTATTAATGTCTTTAATACACTTTGTAGATCTAATAGTAGCATTTTTCTAAAAAAAATACTTTAACATTTCTTTCGTTGAAATTCCTGTCTGCATTTCTAATGTGCAATAGATCTACAGTAAATACTACAGAGTTGTTGACTTTTTGTATGTTCAAAGTACACTACTGTAGAATCAACACGAAAGTTTTATTTTCATTTTTTAAAAATGAATTTCTTGTATTATTTCTTTTAATTTCAAAAGTAATAAAGCTGTACAAATACACTTCAGCTTTCATAATAAAATTAAGCGATTCATGCTTAAAACCTACTTTCACTTTTACAGTTAACTGTTTGATGACGTAAAATGTGACGTCATTGTTTTAGTTTGCGCACGTGCACTTGTTCAGAGGGCTGATGACTAGTTTTATCCTGTCACTTGTATCAATTTCGGTCCGATAACAAGGTGCCGTATATTTTAACTGATCTACGGCACTTGTTCACGTGGTATGCATGTTTGCCGGACTACTTTTCAAGAACAAATATAAAATCTTCAGTCTGTGTGTAGAATAAAGAATTTTGGAAAAGTTCATAATACGTTGTTTGTTTATTTTATTTCACTCTATAATTTTTCAAGCGGAATAAAAAATATTAAAAGTGAAATAAATGTAAAACTTAACTCGTTTGCGATATTAAAATAGCGTACTTTATTTGATTGTTTTGCACGTGCTGTTTGGCGCTACATTGTGACGTCACGTAAACAATACTTTAAACGTCTGTACACCGTTAAAGAATTAATAAAAGATATTGGTGTTCGAATTCATTTTCTTAGTTAGACCATTTTCTTTCATTCTAGATAGTTTTCACAACAAAATTCGACAAAAAATTGTTTTTATTTATCACATTTTTCAAACAAAATGGCGCCCTCAATGTGAAAATACACAGGGAAATAATAAGGACGGCGAGTGCATTGTTGTAGAATAATGAACGCTTCGGGCCTTCTTTGTTTATATAGAATTATTTCCGATAGTGTGATTAAAGGTAGTTTGCCTAATAAAAGTTTTAAAAAAAAACGGTGACAGGATAAATAGAATAATAGATTGCACCAACCTATTATTCTCTATCTCGGCCCCGGGTGCAAACTCATTATAGCTCACGTGTATCAGTTGAAATCATAGGCGATTTTGTTACTATATATAGTAACAAGTGTATTAATAAACACAAATAAGTAATAAGAACGTTAATGATTTTTTTCGATCTTCATTCAGCCCAGAAGTACTTTATAGCATGGCACATGACTGGCCAAAAGCGTGTATTTTTTCTGAACGTTATTCATACATATTTTACATTTTTATTCAATACAATATATATATAGAGATTTAACATGTCTTACTGACTGTCCTTACATAAGTAAATATAAGATTTCGTGCAAATTAATAACAAATTAATACACGGCAGAGTAGGGCCGGAAGGTGATAAACGAATAATGTGCCCGAGGGCTTCAGCTGGAGGGCATTATTTATTTCAGGGCCGATTATCACCTTCTAGCACAACTATGACGTGTAATAATGACTTTAATACACTTGATAGATTAAATAGTAGCATTTTTCAAAATTAACTTTCAATATTAAAATTGATATTCTTTCGTTGAAATTCCTGTCTCTGTAGATTTCTATTTCTACTGTACAGTATAGTAGATCTAACTTCTACAGAGTTGTTTACTTTTTGTGTTTACAAAGTACACTTGAATCTAAAAGCAAGTTTAAATTTCATTTTTTCGGAATTTGTCGTATTATTTCTTTAAGTTTCAATAATTTAAAGACTGTGTTTGTACAAAATACGCTTAAGCTCTCATCATAAAATCAAGCGATTCGTGCTTAAAACCTACTTTCACTTTTACAGTTAACAGTTTGATGACGTAAAATATGACGTCATTGTTTCAGTTTGTGCACGTGCACATGTTCAGTGGGCTGATAATAAGTTCTCTGCCCGGGGCTGCAATCTCATAATCGGTCACGTGACATTCATAATCAGTCGAAATCATAGACAATTTTGTCACTCTTAATAGTAACAAGTGTCATTTACTGGATGACCTAGTAGATATATAAATATGTAATAATAATATTTCAAACTAGACTGTCGTTATTTAATAGAGCCTGCTCATGGATGGTACTGGCAAGTCCAGCTATCGTCATCGCACCATAGCACCGGCTAAAGCAAAATTCAACATTTAAGTATGAAAATGGTGAAATTTTGAATTTAGAAGAAAGCCTCATAGTTTGTGGGTATATTAATTTAGCAGCTGATATTTTTTAACATGAATTTCCGAACATTTCCCTTTTAAATCTCAGATATTGTGACAAAAACAAGAAAGGTGGAGTAAGGACAGGACTTCAGACGTAGGACATTTGACGAAATTAACGGTAATGACGTCCACAAATTTAAAAAAAAATGACGTCATGGAAGACACATGCGATGTTAAGCGAGTTTATGTTTAATATTTCTTTTTTAGCAAAAAAAAATACAATGATTAAGTGCGCATTCTACCGTGCGCCGGTGTCGTGTATGTGGTTATTTAAAAGCAATATAAAATCATTATTTATTGACGCAATAAACCGATCCTTTTTTGGTTTTGATTATATTCTTCAAGTTATGCTGATACATTATCATTATAATACACGTTGACGCGCACGAGATACTTAGAAATACCACGAATTTTCGCATTACCCCTATACATAATGACATCAAATTTGATGTTCAAACATGTCAAATGAATAAATGTATGAAAGCTGCGATCAAACGTATTAATTAAAACAGCAAATTCGTTTTACATTTATATCAACGTCTAGGCTAATTACTTTTGTAGATAAGCTTGGGTGTGATCTATATCTGTCAACTGTAACCTAAGTCGAGAAAACTGAATGACATATCTTTTGTACTTTGCAGGTTATGTTAAGCTCTCTGTAGCGTGCTTAGAAAATCATCGGTAAAAACTATATGACGTCATCAAATTTTAATTGACAAATGGCGTCAAAAGAAAACGAACATTACTGGCGACTTTATTTTTACCTGAATAGCGGAGTTTCCGTTTTGTCAAGGGACATAATTGAAAGCAAATCGGATGGACTTGGGCAAGATTTGAGCTCTCTCTTGAGGAAAAATGAAGGAAAAATTAGAAAAAATTCTAGCTTAAATGATACTGACTTAGGTGTATTATTTCCTGATGATGGCGAAACAAATATGCTAAAATGGAATGCAAATCTGTACCTGTGTGTAATACCTGCAATATTTCGAGACTTGTTGAAACCGAATGACAGGATAAAATTGAGACTTCTTCAAAATGCTCTCAAAGATCTGTGGGACATGCAAGACGACACCACATTAGACAATCTAAGATATGAACAACACGTTCAAAACCTTGAGGGAGCATTTCTCGTTCTTGCATTTAATGAAGATTTGACGATGAAAATGGTAGAAATGAAGAAAGTCTATATAGATCAGCCACTAGATTTTTTTCGTTTAGTAAGGGATACGGCGAAAATGGATTTTCCTAGCGGTTTAGAAGAAAAAGTTGCAGAATTTCTGAAACAGATTCCTTCAAGAAAAGAAATCAGAAGTGCCGTCTCCGAAAGATTTGAAAACTCAAACGATTCGGGTAATGCTTATTTGCCTCTGAAGTGATAAAACATATGCTTCTCCCTTCTTCAACATTATCTTGATTTTAAATGTTTGAACAAAGACCATATATTTGAAAGTAATTTAACAATTTTAATTAATTGCTGGTGAACGTTTGTCATTTCAAAGACGCGGATAATCAAAATGTTAATTTCAATTTGGTTTTTTTTCCAGTTTAAATTCATGGTCGGTATCAAGTTAAAACAAATATGCACCAAATGACAGTATACCTTCGTGTTAGCACGTGCATTCCTTGTTTGTCATCTTGCAGGGCTACCTGGTCACGGAATGCCCGTGGCAGTAAAATCTTAAGCATTTTACGAAGTTGCGTCTATACTGTTTTAAACTATTTGACTTAACAGGAAAAAAAATCAGAATTTACTAGACTGATTGTCAACTTCATGTTTTAAAACTCAACAAGCATCAAAGCATTGTACAACACGATTCGTCTTCACCTGAATCTCATAAACTTAATTTTGTATTTAAAGGTTTATTTTCATATTGTGTGTGTGCGTTCGTGTGTGCGTGTGTGTGTGTGCGTGCGTGCGTGTGTGCTTGCGTGTGTGCGTGCGTAGGTGCGATCGTATGTGTGTATTGGCGCCTGTGGTAGTGCGTGTGCCATAATTGCCGTATCCGGATCTTCTTTATGTATGTAAAGGGATGTAGATAAAATTCACATTCATTTTCCATGTACAAGCTGGTCAGATAAATATGACAGGATAAGTATTTGAAATTGCTAACAAAGTAAGAAATAATTGTGGTTAATTGAAATATAAATACTAGTAGCTACTTTTAAATGAAAATGTCACATTCAGTCGGGAAGTTGCCAATGACGTCATAAATGCTATAATCAAGTCAGATGATTCCTCCCATTGTTTTCTTGTTCAGGGCACAAGCACTTTTTCACTTGAGGATCATACGCCGATTTTCATGGACTGGCACTTACGTGTCACTTTTAAGCTTTCATGATAACCGCCGTATGATCAGCCGGTGATAGGGGCCGTGGACGGTAGGTTGCACTTGATAGTACCGTTCATGAAAAGGCTCAATCAAACCGAGCCTGCAACATTTTCAATTTTGCCGTTTCAGACTTTCTTTAGGAATTCTTTTTTTTTCTCCATTGTAAGCCATTGCTTTGGGCGTGGTAGGAAAATTGCATTTTCAAGTACCGTCCATTAACAGACTCAAACAATCCAGCCTGTAACATTTTTATTTTTTTCTATTTGGGTTTTTTTTCAGAGATGCTATTACTTTTTATATCTTATCGCCATATCAGAGTCGATCAAATTAGAAATAATGTCCATTTTAATGTTCTTTTATAGATAATGCAGTTATGTCTTATCTTAAACATTGATATTGTACTTTCGATATAAATTAACTGTTGCTGTTTTTGTTGTAGGATGTATTATTTATGAAAGACGTCCTACACACTTAGGTGCCGGAGCTTCAAGCAGAGATGTAGCAAATTCAAGCGATGAAACAGGTAAAAACACATTGTATTATAGTTAAGAGACATTTCCATCGAAAAACTGTCAATAATTTTTTCTTAAATTAAAAGAAACAATCGAGTTAAATCGTATACCAATAAATGCAATAAATAATCAATATATTACAGCGCGATGAACAAATGCAGTGGCTTAGCAATATAAGTTTCCGTAAAAAGATTTTTTTTCTTGACGGTAAAATTAGATTGTATCATCGTTTCTGTACCTTTTTAATAAAGGAATTGTCAGGGTTAAATTGTTTTTCCGTACATTAGTTACCCGCATTCCAGTGACCGCATTATCAGGGATGAAAATAGAGAATGCTCGTTGCTTTCTACAATTTCTCACTATGACGACAAGGAAAGTGATAACGATAGAAAAGTCATATTAAGATGCTCTTAAACGTGTTCATTTATTTTTGAATTTCACATTTAGACGACAGGGAAATTCGTATTATTTAGCCTAGTATGATACAAAGGAGATCATAAAAACACTCAGCAACCTGAGTGGACTCGGGGTCTACGCACCCTTTTACAAATCAGATGGCCTCGGGTTTCGATGCTCTTTTTATTAATTAAGTTGTTTTGTGTTTTTCTTTTCTTTTCTTTACGTTTTTCGAGAAACATGGTACTTTTTCAATAAACATGATAAATTTCTTATATATGCACGGCAATCCATATGGCGGCTCCTGAAAATATATGCAAATTTGTCATTTCAAGTTAAAATATATTCCATTTTGCCTGAAATAAAACTCAGTTGTCAGATTTATGATTATGTTTAAACAATGTATCCTTCATATTCTGTGCATTGACAATTCCTGTACAGTCAATGAACAGGCTTAATCCAGCTTGCAGCATTTTCAATTGCGTCGTTTTGGATGTTCTTTAGGGATTCTCAGACCGGGCATTCGGATTTAGAATCAGATAACAAATTTATGTTTAACTGTGAGTAAAGCTTTAATTAGCTCGACTATTCGATACGAATAAGTAGAGCTATTGTAGTCACCCGAGCGTCGGCGTCTGTGTCGGCGTCGGCGTAAGCACTTACGTTAAAGTTTTTGTAATACCTCAAATATTTTCAAAGTCCATAGACATATGGCTTTGAAACTAGGACACTTGTTCACCATCATGGCCTAAACCTGTAGACAGGAGGAGGTAACTGTATCAAGCATTTTGACAGAATTATGCCACTTTTTCGACTTGGAATTTATGTTAAAGTTTTTGTAATACCTCAAATATTTTCAAAGTCATTGACATATGGCTTTGAAACTTTGCACACTTGTTAACCATCATGGCCCCAACCTGTAGACAGGATGAGGTAACTGTATCAAGCATTTTGGCAGAATTATGCCACTTTTTCGACTTGGAATTAATGTTAAAGTTTTTGTAATACCTCAAATATTTATCAAAGTCTATTGACATATGGCTTTGAAACTTTGCACACTTGTTAACCATCATGACCCAAGCTAAAGACAGAAGGAGGTTACTGTAACAAGCATTTTGACAGAATTATGCCCCTTTTTTATTTAGAATTTACGTTAAAGTTTTTGTAATACCTAAATTATTTTCAAAGTCCATTGACATATGGCTTTGAAACTTTGCACACTTGTTCCCGATCATGACCCCAAGCTATAGACAGGAGGAGGTAACTGTATCAAGCATTTTGACAATAAAATGCCCCTTTTTCGACTAAGAATTTACGTTAAAGTTTTTGTAATACCTCAAATATTTTTCAAAGTCCATTGACATGTGGCTTTGAAACTTGCACAATTGTTAACCATCGTGACCTCAACCTGTAGACAGAAGGAGGTAACTCAATGAAACATTTTGACAGAATAATGCCTCTTTTTCAACTTAGAATTTATATTCAGGTTTGCATACCACCTCAGATATTTTCATATTCTATTGACATCTGGATTTGAAACAAGTTGAAATTTTATACTCTCCTTTGAGAGCATAATAGGACTCTCTCCAAAACCTATAACTGTAACATGGATTTAAAGAAAACTTTTGCCCTTTTGTTAACTCGGAAAATTTTACATTATCAAGGCTTTTTCACTATCAAACACTAAGAATAGTCGAGCGTTGCTGTCATACCGACAGCTCTTGTTTAAGCTTGTACACTTTTAAGTTCTTGTCAATTTTGTAGTCTTATAGACACAAATTTATATCAACTTTTCATAATACATTACTGAATAAATTCAACTTTTTGCACATTTATCATTTATGTGTGATTTATAATATTGTTTATGTCATACACAAAGTGCGTGTTCTCATGACGGAGAACATAAACGATCAATCCATTGAATTGATCATTTTGCCCTAAAATGATTTGCAATTTGACACAGAGCCTTCTAAATGGTCCATGAATAGGCTCAATCAAACCGAGCCTGCAACAATTTCAATTTTGCCGTTTTGGACTTCTTTTAGGGATTCTTTTTCTCTCTACTTTCAGGAGAACTACTAAAATAATGTAACATAGCACTTTGAAATGATACTGAACTCTTATAACTAGTTCTTCTCATTCAGTTAATAGTAAGTTATTAAAACAATTAATTTAAATTTGCAAGATATTTAAAGATTACCATATTCTCCTTATACAGGTACTGTTCCCATCTCAGAAGAGGAGAAGGATGCGTTTGATGAAATAGGTTATACACTTTTTCTAAAAGAAACGTTTTCTGTAGAAGCAAAATATTTTTTCTTAACAATGTTTTTGTTTGTTTATTTGTTAATATGTTTGTTTCTTGGTTTCTTTCTTCAATACTTTTTTGTGTCTTACGGCAATTGTGTAAAATACACTCATTATAAAAAGCTTGAAATATATTAGTTTAAGCTTCCAAAACATCATCAGCTTCCCGCTTAGCTCAATAAGAAGAACGTAGAATTTGTAATCTAATGGTCGCTTGTTCAATTTCAGAAGAGGCAAAATTATTGTTTTTTCTAGTACTGAGACAAATGGTCATTTATCTTTTACCGCTGATTTAGAAATCATCTGGGATAAGTAGTCGGTCAGTTGTGAAGGAAATGGTAATTACTGGTTAGTTTTCCAAGAAAGTCGGTTAGATGAACCAACAGCCGAGATATGATCAAACCTTTGTTGTGTTGTTAATTGTGCTGTGTTTTATCGAAAAATCATGAAGTCATGCAGTTCATCATTTCATTAAACATTTAGAGTTATGGACTACATAGGAATCTAAAAGCAATTATTGAAAGATCATGAAGTGAAGATATATTTCATTCTGCACATCACTCCTATATTATATGTAGGTTTTAGTTCATTTCTCTCTTCATTTGTATAATACACTCAAAACTGAAGTCAATTTTCAGAACTTTAAATCACATAGAAATTAACTCATCTTTAAAGTTAAAAAGAATTATTTGAAATCTATATCCCTTGAAAATCAAAATAATGAAATTCATTAAAGGTCTTGGTCTACCAAAAATGGTAATTCATATGTTAATAGTAATATATATTTGAAAATACGTGAAAAATATCCATCTTTACATTTTTTCGTCTTAATAGTTTTAACAAAAATTCTGCAAATATTCAATCTGAGACAAATTTTCCTGTGACAAATTAATATACGAACCAAGCTTTTCGGTTAATGTTTTGGTAGAAATGTATCTGAAAACGAGATTTATTTTCGGAATTTTCAAGAGCCGCTATGATATCGTATACACGTATACTTGTAAAGAAGTCTCATGGTTTTAGACAATTAGAGCAAATCGAAATTATGCATTTAAGTGAACTTTTTAGATATCATTTGAAATTTTCTTGCACTTGGATGATTTATTATAAAATTTGTAGTGATTCGAAAGAAAATGATATCGTATGCCAGAGCGCTAAAAGCACTGAAAACGATGGACAGGATTTGGGCCTATCGGTAGCATATTACACCAATTTTATAGATAAATATATGCGGTAATGTAAAGGTGCCATTTGAATTTTGTTCATCTGAGTTGTAATCTAATTTAACTTTTAGAAGAAAGTTTCATTATTTCATTATATGCATGCAAAATTTTAGATAAGAATATTCTGATATAGTTTTTAGTAGATTGTCCTTAAAAGCTTCCATCAAAACTTGTCATGGAATTCGATTCTTCCAAACAGAAGAAAATAATATCTTAAACGCATCTGATAAAAGAGGTATCGTTAATTCTGTTAATATAATGTTAATTATTAAATGTTTTCATTTTTGCCTTGTTATTGGGCTGAAGACTGTCATATTAACCTGTGGCGGAAGGCTAATGTGACAGTCTAAAGCCCAATAACAAGGCCATTATGAAAACACTTAATTATTGACAATTTTATTTATTAACTACAGATAAACTTAACAAGTTAATCACTTAATAAACAAAAAGTAACTAATATAAATTTCCGTTGTTGTGAGGTATTGCAAATGAGGTTCAGGTTTTAAAAATGTCTCGGAAACCTACCTAGCAGAAATTCAAAATAGTGATTTTTTTACAATGAAAAAAAGCATAATGGCTGGGGAGCCAATCGAAATTCTCAAATCTCATAATAGCCGAGTTTTCTCATAAAGGCCGTACTTTTTGCATTATGGCCTTGTTATATGTTCATAATGCCATGCTGAACTTCACATTAGCTTTACATTTGAAGTGAAAACGTGCCTCATATTAAAAAGATAATTAATAATTGTTCATGATATAACTTAAAGAGATAAAGAGGTCATTCTAAGTATCACAAGGTTGACTGAACTATCCTAAATGTTTTATGTGAACATCGATTAAAATAAATAGGCTTTTTGTTATTATAGACTTTTTGTTATAACATGCATTACTATAATGCAGTGTAATACCTGGGATGTTTGCAAAGAAGAAATATTTAAGTTTGAGAAAAGAATTTTCTGAACTTTTGAATGATGAACGAAACTCATATAAATTGAAAAAAATGGAGGAACATTCGAGGTCGGTCACCATGTTACTTTTTGAGTTATCAGTCCCTAAAAGTGAGGTTTATTTTTAATCATATAGAAAACTTTCAAGAACATATATCTAGAAATCAAGCTTCCTGATGCCATTTTTTATTTCACTTTATTTTTTATTATTTCACTGTCAATCCTTTTGTGAAATTTAAAACAATTCTACTAGACATAAAACGGTCTGTGCTTTTAAAGTGGACACACCATATTTTCTTAAAAAGGGGCATAACTGGAAAAAGCAACTTTAGAATAAAATCTCGGTCGCATAGAATTGTAGCAAATGTTGCTGCACAACAACAGGGAATAAAGTAACAGCTGACGTAATCCAAGTTTCTCCTAAATGTTTAGATAAAAATATTTCGCAGTACATTGTGATACCGCATAAAATATACTTTTTATTGTGTCATTCTAATTATATTTTTTAACAGCAGAGATGTTTATAACAGCAGAGATGTAAAAGTAATCAACATATCGTTATTATTATGCATTACCATATCGTATTTATGTACCTGTAAATTTGTATTATAATGTTCTTCCCTTATGTCTAATTTAAGCACTCGTATGGAGTGCTCTTAGCGCTTTGATCTTATTTGTAGTGGTGTTTATATATTATATTATTTTAGTTCATAATAATGACTACTGTAATAATATTAAATCATGTAACACAAAAAAATGTTTCCAATGGAACCTTAAATATTTAACAAATTTAGCTTACCAAAATTCTTTCTAGGGCAATACTAAATTTATAAATATGGTCATAAACGGGACTCCATTAATAAAAGCTGGAGATAAAAAAGATTTACATGTATCTTTAAAGATATATATTTATAACAGCTTAATAGGGTACTCAGAACAATATCGTAGGAAACTGAGGATGATAAATTGAAACTGTAAAAAACGGAATATATTTAGACTCGTCCACAGCTTCAAAGACCATATTGGACTCGCCTATCAAAAATATTTCCGTATTGTACAATAAAATGTATAATAACCTATAAGTATTGTTTGTGTGTGTATTTAAGTTTTTTATACTCGCCACCGGTTACCCATGAAATGTTTCAAAAATTAGTTTCGTAAGCGAATTTTAATCATCACAAAGAATTTATTATATCAACAAAATATATATGTATATGTCATAAAGACATATACGACAAATAATTTGACGATATTATAAAGCATGTATTCTACATAATTTGGCATTTTGCAAAAGCAATGATACCAATTCTGTATTAACAATCTTCAATACTATGTCTTACAATGGCATTTGAAATTTTGCATTCTTTATTATAAAAGTAAGAAATAAGATAATAAATATAAGTTTTATTTTTTCATTATCCCTTATGTGCAGACTCATTAAACCAAGTTTGCAATTTTCATGTAATTTTGCTGTTTTTAATGCTTCCGAGGGATCCCTTTTACCAGATATTTATACCTTACAACAGCAGGTGTCAAGTGCTGTTGTGGTAGCCGTAAAAGTTGCCCATACTTCACTTCAGTGATTTTTCTGGTCCATCGGGATCATTGAGTCCAGCATTTTTAAGTGTTGAGAATTGAGTACCGCTCAAGCAGGTGCTCGGGGGCGTGAATGATCTACTTTTTCATTATCCCTCATGTGCAGACTCAATCAAACCGAGTCTTCAATGTTCATGTAATTTTGCTGTTTTTAAAGTTTCCAGGGGGTCACTTTTTACCAGATATTTAAGTTGACAGTAGGTTGGATTTTTGGAGAAAATAAGTTGTTTCTTGGAAGTCATATTTTTTTAATGATTTAAGAAATAATTTGAAATTGCTGTTTTGCATTAAATTATTGTTAGATTTAATTTTATAAGTTGATGTATAATCAAAATGTTTAGTTACCGTAAGGAAATTTAAGTCAATTCTGATAAGTATCCCGAGAACATCATGAATATTTACATTTAAGAATATGTAGCACTAAGCATAATAATTACTGCTCGGTTCATGCTAAACTGAATCACCTGTTTGCTATCAACACAATGTTCTGTCAAACAAATCTTTATTAGCTTCACATACAAATTCAGATTATAATGCAGAGTAGAATTTTTTTATAAAACTTGTAAAATAAAGTAAGAAAGGGAATTGTATTGCGAAATTCTATTGAATACAATAAGGAATTACAAAAAAATAATAACAAGCATTTAAATCTGTAAATGTGTCTTTAATCTGACATTAATATTCGCGAGCCCTTGCTCTTATTCAAAATAATTATTTGTAAATATTCATACTGTTTTACTGTTACATTTCAAAACTGAATTAATTTTTGGCGTTAAACTGGTATCCACATCTGGAAGTGTCAACAGGCAAACACGTCCCTGTTGCAATGGAATATGTATTGAAAAACAGAACGCGTGTGCTCCCTGGTAACCTCGAATGAACTTGACTGATAAAAGGTTGCTACAGCATATGTCTGTTTTGAAAGACAAAGCAGCAGGTTTATTGATATGACTGACAGTCGCAGGAGTTAACTCTTGGATAAGCATCTAACGTCATTTCAAAAATAAATTCTTAAACGATCGCGTATTTGTTTCTCCTTTAAGCTGTTTGAATTTTTCGAACCGAATCTGAAATTCGCGAGCGGTCATGCTATCACAAATATGACATTATTTAAACTAGATCACGTATCACTGTTAGCGTATTTTTTCTAACGTTCGGTATACTCCGAGACAATCGAAACGATTTTAAGTCCAGTTGAGCATACACTGTTTTGGGACCGTAACTTTTACTTTGTCGCCCATTGAAGTAATATTTCTCTTTAGATGGCGATAATTATATGTTTATTACACATTTTATAATATATAGGCTATTTGACCAGTATTATCACTTTAACCAGAGATAAAGAACGAATTGTAAGAAGATGCTTCAGTAGTATGCTACTGCTCTGGCAAGTAAATTACATCTAGATTTAATTGTGAAATCTGGATAAAATAACTTTAGTTATGTAATGTCCAATTTAGTTGCAACATATATTGTATCCATTTATTAATGAATTTTATTAGTCTATTAAATAAATAATGTTTGTTGTTCGTTTTAACCAGGCAAAAACTTATCAGCATTGTGTTGTCTTTTATTTTATAAGTACGAAGAGCTACTAAACCACAGACTGACAAAGAAAGAAGAAGTTGGTCACAAGAATGGCAGAAAGTAGATATAGAAAGTAGTCACAAACAACAAGATTTCGAAAAACTTGTAACAGAAAACTTAGAAAAGTGGAAACAGGAGCCTGTAAATATTGCTGTTATAGGTCGATCAGGAGCTGGGAAATCACGCTTAATCAATGCCATTAGGGGATGTACATCTAAGGATGACCAACTATACGCAAATGTTGGTACAACCGAAACCACACTTGAGGTGAAAAGGTACCCTCATCCACATAATCCGTTATTAGTATTTTGGGATCTCCCAGGAATTGGAACAAAGAAATTTCCGAGGAAGGATTTCATTGAAAATAAGAAAATTGCCTTTTTTTCGTATGACGTTTACTTAATTGTATGCGCTGACAGGTTTACGGAGGATGAAGAAACATTTGCGGAGATACTCGAAAAGTCAGGCAAAACATTTCTTTTCGTGAGAACCAAAGCCGATGTGAATGAAGATGAGTTCGAAAATTTTGAAATGGAATTGGGCAAAATACGTAAAGATTGTGTAGAAAATCTCTGTTCGAGGAAAATAAAAGACAAAGACGTTTTTTTAATTTCAAGTAAGTTTGTTGACCATAAGCTATTAGATTTCGGCAAATTAGTTGAAAGGCTTGTTGGTTCTTTGCCTGACTTGAAGAAGGAAGCGATATTGAACTCCCTGCAATTTCACACTAAAACTCTTCTCAAGGAAAAACGAGCTGAATTGGAATCAAGGTTGTTTCGAGCTAGCGTGATGTCTGCTTTTTGTGGTGCATGGCCTGTTCCAACAATGTCTTTTTCTGTCGACTTTGATATCATCTCCAAGGAACTTGTTGCATATCGACAAAATTTATGCATTACTGTAAAGTATCTTGAGGACATAGCAAACAAGACAGAGATATCTGTTGACGATCTGAAAACTAAATACTCACTAAAATCTTTCACTTTATACAATTGTATGGAAGAAGAGGGCGGTTTGTTTTCAAAATTCGCTAAACTTATACCAACCTTCGCGTCGATTGCAATGTCAAAAGGTGGGTCGACGATTATACCTATACCCTTTATTGGATCATTAGCATCAGCAGGACTGTCGTTTTACACAACGTATAGGTTCCTGGCATCAGCCCTTGACGACATGGTTCAGGATTCTGAAACACTGCTAGATATTCTACTGGAAAGAACTGGCAAAAGAATATTACACACTAAATGACTAACTAACTAGGGGATTTTTGAGACTATATGAACAATAAATACATTATTTATGATATAAAGGTTATTATGTCCAAACGATTATATCAAGTATACTTTGAAGTGGGTATAGCTGGATACCGAAAAAATAAGTTGTTTTCACGAAAATAAGATCGCTGCTACGGAAATAAGATTTATGTTTATATAGTGTATTTATCTGTTATGATAATTATGTTTATTGTCTATTTATGCTTTGTTTGAATCATTTTACAGCGAATTAAATATTCTGAACAAAAAAAATAATTATCTTAATAAGGAATATACTGTATGCTTTCTTTGACTGATTTAACAGTAAACAAGATGTTCAGAAATAAAAGAAAAATAAAAAAAGCTTAGTTTGTGCCAAAAATAAATCACACGGAAATAGCTGAAATCGCTGTGAAAAGCGAAAATAAGGTAGGTTTTCAGTTTGTTTTTATAAAGGAATTTGAAATATGAAGGTTTGCATAAACATGCTATATATGATATTGTTATAAAGGTTTTACAAATATATTTGCAGAATAAAGTTTTTTTAAGAAAAACCAGCTTGTATCGTATACATATACAGATATTATTTTATATAAATCTTATGTTCTTATAATTTTATGAAATACGAATATAATATTTTCATATTTAAGAATAAGATTAACTAGTTTATTGACCATAACCTTGTCATACATTATGGGAATTATGACAAAGAACAGGTACTTTATGTCTAAAGTAGATACCATTTATATTAACAAAAAATATTGTAAAAAATATACGAGGGGAAGTCAGAAAATATCCGGACTTTTGACTCGTTCTCGAAAACCATTCAACATTTAAAAACAAATCTTTCTACTCTTTTTCAAAATATTCTCCACCTACGTCTACGCACTTTTGCCATCTTTTGAACCATGACGTAGACCTATGTTTTAGGTACTGTGTAACAGCAGATATCAAAGCCGCCCTGGTCTTATATTTCTTTTCAGCAAGCAGTTTTTTCAGTTCTGGAAACAAATAAAAGTCACAGGGGGCGAGGTCTGGGCTATGAGGAGGGTGAGACAACAATTGCCATTTGTAAGAGTTGACAACCTCCACTGTAGCTGCGGCGGTATGGGAGGGGGCGTTATCGTGAAGAAGGAGGACATTTTTCGGTGCTAACCTGGGACGCATTTGCTTCAGCTTTTCTCTGAAATTTTCAGAATTACTTCAGAATAGTACTTGGCGGTGACAGTTTGACCTTTTGGCATGAAATGAGTAAGTATCATTCCTCGTGAATCCCAAAAGGCAACAAGCATGACTTTGCCAGCCGAAGGAGACAGCATAAACATTTTAGGAGGTGGGGAACCAGCTCGTTTCCACTGCTTTGACTGAGCTTTTGTCTCAGGTTCGAAATAATGAACCCACATCTCATCTCTAGTGATAATGCGGTTCAAAAACTTATGTCCTTTACGATTAAAACGACTTTAATGTTCTTTTGCATTGGTTACTCTGGTTGCCTTTTGATCTGCGGACAGCTATCTAGGCACCCACCTGGCACTGACCTTGCTCATGCCTATGTGTTCGTATAAAATCTTGAATGCCGATGCCTTACCGATGCTAAACTTTGTGGCTACCTCCTCCAAAGTTACTCGACGATTTTGTTGACAAAAGCTTTAACATTTGCTACCATTGTTGGGGTCACCGCCTCAGAAGGCTGCCCAGTCCTATGCCTGTCACAAACACTTGTTCTGCCTTCACGAAACTGAGAAACCCAGTTGTAGAAGGTTGAACGTGATACACATTTATCAGAAAAAAAAATTTAAGCCTCTGAAAGATGTGGCAGGGCTTTTCACCTTCTGCAACCAGAAACCTTATTACAGAGCGTTGTTCCTCTAACAAAGAGTCCATGATATCATATATCAGAGGGCAAAATACTGTGTATACACAACTATCATTGAAAATAAACTGACCACGTTATTGGCGAATGAATGAAGTTTTCACCAATATATAATGTGTGTATATAGCTGCACGTGAAAAGAGAGGAGCATGAAAGGTCCGAATATTTTCTGACCGTCCCTCGTAGCAATTTACAAATGATTCCAATCTCAAAATAGATATTCTTGAATTACATGGGTTATAAATCTCATCTCATATAATGAGGGTGTTGGAAAAAAATGAAGTTGAATCCTTGAAGACATTAAGAGGAGAAATTTTCGGAAATATTTAAGCAGAGTTATAAACCTTGTCATATTATTATGATATGGGAAATGACATCAAACTTACAGTTTGAAATAAGTCCATTACGAAACAATAAAAGTAAAGACAAAAAATCAAGTTGTAGGGGGATAATTCTGAAAATAGTAATGCGTTATGAATCTTGCCACACATGATGCGGGTGATGATAAGAAACATATATTTGAAGTTTGAAGAATTGATACCTTAAGAAATAAAATAGTTTTAGTAAATAACAACAGGCATTAAGGAAAGTTCTTATTTCATTAGAAGACAAGAAAAGCATTGATGCAAAGCATCAAAGGCGACGCCAAAAAAATTTGATCAAGTGTTTCACCTAAAAACTTAACAAAAGATGTGTTCTTTATAACAGTACCATTCATGTGACCTGGTGGCTAGGCCCAGTTTAAAGAAAAGATGCATTAAGACAATTTATATTGTCAATTAACCAATCACTAATAAGACTCATGTCCTGATTGAGAATTTCTTCAGATTTATTTTACCAGATACAAGGATACCAGAGTCATCAGCATATAATAAAAGCTTATTGCTTAGGGTTGCAGACATGTCATTGACATATATAACACATAACAGAGGACCTAAAATGAACCTTAGGGGGACACCATAGGTACTCGGAGCAGTAAAAGAATGAGTACCAGCCACATCCACAAGCTGCTGTCCATCGGATGTAAGACTTTAACCATGTAAGAATGTCATTACCTATGGCAGATGCTTGAAGTTACAATACTGCCTTTGTCCATTTCAAATTTAATACAATCTGTTAAATGAATCAAACATGTGTCAGTTAAAAAACCACTTCTAAACCCTGACTGAAACTGCCTGACCATGACTCGAACCCATGACTGTCAGAAGACCAACTGAGCTATCCGGCCGGCTACACATTTGCTCTTAAATAATAAACAGTTCTAAACCACAACGTATCTCCCCACTACATGTATATTGATATGTGTCCTTGAATTTCTGATGTTTACAGAGCATAGTGAATTAAACTTATATGCAGTCACAGGATGAGCCTCGAACTTGTGACCCACAGAATAATGTACCGCGGCTGTAGCGATTGAGCTATCTGGCCCTTGCACATCTTCTACCCTAAATAATGAACAGTTCTTAACTGTGACAGATACTTTAAGATTTTTTGATTTATAGGTAGATTAATTCTTAATTAAACAAATAATATAAAAACTTACATACTCATAGTCTTAATCAAAATAACAATATATTGTATAATTATTTTTACTAAAAAAATGGCTTAGACAGACATTGGTTGTGCCATTATTAATAACAGGTCAATTTGAAAGTTAACATGACTGTACTAATACATGTACAATATCTAATTTTTTGTACAGATAAAGTCTAACCTTTTTTCTTTGATAAGAAATTTTATGGAGGCTGATTTGTATTTTGCATCAGTGGGCTCCGGGCGAAAACATGAAAATACAACAAAAAACCACTTTGTGGTAGATTGTATGTTCATGTTTTCATCTGGCGCCCGGTTACTTTTTGTACTTTGTTGGTTTTCATGTGGCACAAATCACCCACTATAAAATTTAGTGCACGAATTTATTCAAGTGCAAGTTACAATCTACTCTATGAAAAGTCTGTAGTCGGGTTGACTCTGGAGATCTGGAGGTTGAGACAAGTGTCCCTCCATTTCAAATAGATAAGACAGAAGCTGTCCTAAGATAGACAGAAGAGAACAAATAATTTAGTCAACATGAGTTACTTCCCCTAAAAAAGAGGTAACCTGAAACCCTTAACACCATAAACAGCAAAATTATGAAATGTTGCAGGCTCAGTTTTATTAAGCAATGAGAAGTAATAGTAAAGTATTCATAAAAGGTTAGATGGCCATGCGACAGCAGTAATTGCAGAAAATTCGGATCGCTTTCTACATCCGGATACTGGTACACTTTGTAAAAACAATCATTCTGTGCAATAGATAAACGTAATATGGATAAAATAAATAGGATAATCGCTTACAACCGTTCCATTACTAATCCTTATACTCACTCGCAGGTGAATGTTCTTCTTGTAGGAAAATTTTGAAAATATATAAATGAATGAAAAAGAATACGGCATAAATGTAGACCACAACGATATTCGAAATCCGGTTTTAGTATTGCCAATAACGCTAAAGGACAAGCTGTTAAACTGAGCCTGGAATTTCGTTAAAATAATATCACAATACACATGCTTTTTACATAAAGTTATTTAATACAAATATAACAACATGTTTGTTTACTTGATTTTTACGAATTAAAATAAAACTAATAAACACAACATGACATTAACTGCTTATAATAACAGCTCCTTCCATAGGCCAAAATAAAATGCAATCCATAAGAGACGACGCCGCTCACCAGCGTCGCCAATAACTCCCGAAATATATGTGCTAGAGTTTATTAGAATCTTACACTGACTTCCGGTACAGACCGGAATATCTAGCTCGAGGGCAAATGTTTACGGCGGAAATGAATGCTCTGCCAAGCTTCTGCTAAACAATTACCCGAGAGCTAGATATACCCGTCTATTTAATTATACAAAATTTTGGCAATTTCAATCTGCCAATCTTACAAGAGAAAGGAGTTATCCCTCTATTAATGTACTTAATCGTATAGGCAATGTCCCACCGTATCCCCCAATGACGTCATCCAAGGACGACAACTTGAATACGGTCTTAAAAGAAAGGGTCTATAGGTAGAGGTCTGTTCGATTGCGCGATGGCATAAAATGTTGGAAAAAGATATAAGTCAGAATAAATATAAAAACACAATAATGATATTTTCTAGATGTTTCTAACAGCTTTACAATAAATATATGAAATTAAATAAGACAGATCGGTTTTTTGATATTTTTGCGTTCGATTGGGTTTCTCTTCTACATGTTCTAAGCTAATCTAGTCCTCGAACCGGGCATAAAACGATTGAAACGAACTTTCGACTAATTTACAGTTGCAAAATTCTCCGTGGAATTAGTGTACAGTATCTTCTAAATCTTTGTTTTATTTTAAATTCATATTCAAATCAAATTCCATTTTGATTAAAATCAAATAATGTAATGTTTAAATCTACGATGACAATTAAGGGGAAAAACATTGCGGGTAAAAATGAACTGAAATAACGAGGTCGAATAAAATGTTCTGTTTGCGATTAGCATGGTCAGTAGTAGCTTATCCTATGCAAGTTAACACGTTTGACTTCTTATAGTAACGTATGTACTTACAACTTCATTCATAACAGTTTAGTGACGTCATCATAACAAGGCAATTAATTCATAAAAGGCGCGCGGCAATAACGTCATTT